CGTGGAGAGTGAGGGAATTCAAGGGGCATGTGGGTAGCTTCTTCCGAGAAGAAGGTGGTAGGAATTGGATCTTTGCTCCTGTCCCCTTCTGCTTGTTATGGAGTTGCAGGGAAATTATTAGGACCCCGTTCTCCAGTGAGCCTTGACATAATTGTCAACATCCTGAACTCAACAGGGCTGCAGCTGACAGCGCTGAGGAGCTGGAGGAGCAGAGCTCTCTTGAGGTAGGAAGGTTTTTCTTCCAAGAGCCCAAAGAAGAAGGGCCAAGTGTGGGGGTGAGCTGCAGAGGCCCTGCCGAATGCTCTCACACATATCCCTCTTTCTTGTCCACCATGAAACAGCCCAGCTGAACCAGACTACAGCACTGGGTTGTTTCTTTTATCGTGTCTAACTCTGTTGTGTTCCTCAGCCACCAGATAAATGCAAAGTCAGTCTCAGATCCACCAGCCCCAGCTTCCAAGCAAGTGGAAGCGCCCTCTGAAGATTGGAGGGAAGAGAGAAACCTCTCCCTTCCTGTGGATGCTGGGTTCCCCCAAGATTTTTCCTCCGAGCTTTACCTCCACACCCTGCCCAAGCACACCCTTATTCTCTAAGCATAGAAACTTAGCCGCTGCTGTGGACTGCACTGGGTTTCTCTTCTTTCCCTCCACAACTTCTCTCTATGTGCCTCAAAGGGTGGTGACACTCTCTGCTCTGCCCCGTGACTCCTCTTCCAGTCATCTCCTGCAGAGACTGGCCAGGCCTCATCTGGTGACAGTTGCTGAGATGACCTCAGCAGTGACCTAACAATGCTGGGCTTTGTGCTGGCAGGTGACCTCATAGTATAGGCCTGACGTGCTCTCTCTGGCTTGTCGTTTTTTTTGGTTGGTTGTTTTTTTCTCTGTTTCTACCACATGTGGGCATATGGACTTCTTCCATTTTCAGTGGAGAAGTCCATTCCCTAATGGTCAGTGTCAAAGTCCTTTCACAGTCCCTTTTCTCTTCTGCGGGGGAGGCGAAGATGCCTGAAGTTTCCACTCCGAAAAATAAAACACCTGGTCAAATGGAGACATAACAAGAGTCGGGGGATTTCTGGGGGGTACTGCAGTTGTTTTCTCACCCCACTATGCTATTGAAATTGCACCAAACCCGGATGGCTTCCTTCTAGGCTTCTGAAGATGTGGACGTGCGTTTAGTGGAAGAAGTGCCCGTTTTCCATGCCCTCCCCTAGGCAATGAGACTTCTTTCATGAAACTCCTGGAGGGACACCCTGAGGAGCGTCTGCACTTCACCCTTTGGACTGCTTCCAAGGAGAAGGTTTCTACAGGCTAGTCTTTGTGCTCCAGGAGACTTGATTTCCCTCTCTCTAAAGCAATTAGGTGGCACCCCCAAGAGACTTTGGAGTGCAGAAGCATTACTGGGATGTCCCCTTGATTCCCTCAGGATGATGGCCTGTCTTTAGCATGAGCCCCCTGCCTGCCTCCCCTTCACTCCTCCGCAGCTCAGAGCATTAAGCCGAGGCACGCTTAGAGACAAAGAGCTAGCTTTTGCCCCCCTGCTGTGACCTGGACATCAGCGGACTAGGTCCATGGCGATACACAGCATGGCCACTCCCCCGCCGCTTGCTCCGAGTGACGGGGCTCGGCTGCCTATCCTCCGTAAGGGGGTACACCCTGTTCTCCTACTCACAGTCAACCTGTTGGTGCAGACTGGGCAGCCGCCGGAGGGTGAAGTCTACTGCAGCAACATAACACAGCCACTATGTCCCGGAGAGAAGCCGGCTGGTGTTCCTGGCAATTGCACTTTGCAGGGCTTTGGCCCCTGTCAGCTGGCCCCTTACCCACTAGGCTGCTGTGTTTGGAGGGGCTGTGGAGAGTGAGGGAATTCAAGGGGCATGTGGGTAGCTGCTTCTGAGAAGAAGGTGGTAGGAATTGGGTCTTTCTTCCTGTCCCCTTTTCCTTCTTGTGGACTTGCAGGGAAATGATTAGGACCCCGTTCTCCTGCAGGCCTTGAAATAATTGTCAACATCGTGAACTCACCAGGGCTGCATGGTTGTTTCTTTTATCACGTCTAACTGCGTTGTGTTGTTCAACCACCAGATAAATGCAAAGTCAATCTCAGATCCCCCTGCTCCAGCATCCATGCAAGTGGAAGCACCCTCTGAAGATTGGAAGGAAGAGAGAAACCTCTCCCTTCCTGTTGGTGCCAGCCCCTTGAGTCCCTCGCACAGTGACCTGTCTTTGGCATGAGCCCCCTTCCTGCCTCCCCTTGCCTCCTCCGTAGCTCAGAGCATTAAGCCAAGGCGCCCTTAGAGACAAAGCGCCTGGTGTTGCCAGGTGACCTCATAACAGAATCCTGTGAGGACCTCACTCTCCTGCCTTTTCTCTTTGTCCCAAATCTCGATTTTGAACATTTCCTTACCAATAAGTGATGAGTCCTTAACTCCCATGGCCCCTTTTGAAAATGCAAGCCTTATGACCCCTGGGTGGTCACATGGAGCAGCAAGGGACCGAGTGTCTGCCTGCTATTGATGCTTTCATCCAAGACTCTTGGTTCTGCATGCTATTTATATACCATTGTAAAGAGGCTTCTTCATTATGTTTTACTGTTTCTCTTAATTTCTGTTTAGCTTATGTGGAACCACTGAGCTCACTCATGCCCTCACACTGACTGATGTTCAGTAGACAACTCAGCCAACAATTGTACATACCAATCTTGCTGGGTTCTTCATGTCCAATTTCTTGCACCGTTTCGAAAGAAAAGACTTGAGTGCAAGTAGCAAAAAGTTTAGGGGCACCTGTCACTCTGTGACACCATGTCTCCATTATTCATACTTCCCACACTGATGCATTGCAAATTTCTTCTGGCATCCCCCTGGACTGGCAACTTTTCAGGTCTTTGTGGACAAGGCATTCCACAGGTGATGGAGCTAATCTTATACTGGTAGCCATATAGGTTAATAGAGAAAATGGCCCATAAATTGGCTGTAAAGTGCACAAAAGTTTGGGCTGTTAGGGGACAGTGCCAGCTGTGAACTGAATGAAATTTTCAAACCCCTGTGCTTTAGGAGATGATGAAGCCTTGAGGACACTTCACAAAAGAAGAAGGTTTTTTAATAGTTTAATGGTTTCTCTTTTTAATACTTTAAGGGGTGGGGTGGTGGTAGGGGACAGTCTGGAGTAAGGGTGGCCTGATTTTTATACAGCCCCACAAGCAACTACAATTTCTAAGGCCTCAGCTTTTAATAGGCCACAATTAAAGCTACCAAGTAGGACTGACTTTCCCCAGAAAGCTGATCTCCCACCTTCTGAGAGGCCACTTCCTTTAAGATGGCTTGAGAGTAAAAAGACGTGCCCCAAATCACTTGCCATTTTAAAAAGAAACTCCTGGAGTTTTAATTATATTTCTGTGCATGTATCCCTTTTTCAATTGCCACTGGCTAAATTATTCCCAGTCAATGTTTATGCCTGTTTGAGAATTGTTGATGCTCTTCTTTGGCTTTTGTCCACATGAGCACAGGTTGAAAACGAACAGATTTAAGGTCCTGTGTGGGAAATATGAACACAATTAGCACCTGACCTTTGCTCCTACTGCACCTGTTGCTAAAACTGATGGATGAGAGCAGCTCTTCAGTGGAAGTGGTCAAAACTTCCTCACAGGAGTGCTCCCCTGGACACCACCAGGCTAGTGTTTTCCACAGCGCCTAGGAGACATAGGTGCAGCAAATTCTCTATGGCCACATGGAATTTGATTTCAAAGGGAGCTGAGGGAGTATCAGTTTTTGATCTTTTGCAAAGCCTTTTGATAAAAGTGGGGTATTTTCAGATTCTTTTTAAAAAAATGTGATACCAGCAGATGTCAGAATTATGGGGCAGAAGGGAAAAGCATTTTCACTCTTCTGTTGTTACCAACTTCTTCAAGAACAAATCCACAGCCTTTCCCCGTTTCCAGTGTGCTCTCAGTGTTTACGTCTTGAGTGTCTGGAAGATGTGGACATGGCTTTTGCTTTAGAGGCTTCTAATGCCATCTAGAATATCCCTCCTCCTTATCTGTCATTTTGAGAATTTCCCCTTTATTAACACATCTTTCCCTTTGTGTTCAGTCTAAGCCCCCTGACTAAGCAACAGGGCAAAGCCATGAGAGAAAAGGGAGAACAAGTTTGCACAGAAATGGTGAATGCAGAAGAATCAGAGAATATCTCCAAGGTTGTTGCTCCTGATAAAGGGCTATTACTGCCAATTCTCTTACCCTATGTGAGAACAAGGAACAAGAGATCTGCACAGAGCTTAGGATCACTTTTTTATTGTTGTTCAAAATGACCTTTAAGTGAAGAATTTTCCCCCTGAAAATGTCAAATTTAATTTCCTTTTTTTTTGGTTGGCAAAATCATACAATGGCTTCCTTGACTGTATTTTTCCAGGGATGAAGTACACTCCTGATTAAAGGTTGAATGGTAGGACCATTGGAAGCTTACTAGTTAAGAGCAGAGGAACACATGAATGGTCACACTAAGGGTAAATCTGCTCACAGCTGCTACTGCTCAAGTACTAGCTAGCTGGTGGTAGCAGTTTAGCAACTGCAACCTGGAACTCAAAGCTACGCAGACTGTAAAGCCACATGAGACACTTGGTAAATACTTGAGTGGTTAACAGTGTTTCCTCCAGTCCAAGTAGCATGTCACTGGCAAGGGAGATTTCTTAAGCATAAGGACAGCATTAGGGACAAAAACAGATGGATATAAACTGACCACGAATAAGTTTAGGTTGCAAATTACAAGAAGGTTCCTAAACATGAGAGCAGCAGGGTCCTAGAAAAGCCTTTCAGTACAAGCACTGAGATGCTATGAGAACAAGTTAGTCTTTTTTCCATTTGGGCTTTCAGGAAATTATTTTTTATTCATAATTTTCAAAATCTTTTTCTAGATAAACTGATTAAAATTGTGATTAAAGAAAATAATTTATTAAAACACATTATGTTTTTAACAAGCTAGAAACGGTAAAGATTGGTGACAGTTTCTGGCATCAGATGAGATGGTTCATTGTTAATAGTAGTTTGGTCTCCATTGTCTTCTTCAGTGCATCTTTTACATCCTTGTTCCTAAGGCTGTAGATTATGGGGTTGAGCATGGGGATCAGCAGACAATAGAACATTGAGACAACCTTTAAGTGGTTTGGGGACGATGTCTCGGAGGGTACTGCATACATGTAGAAGGTTGCACCAAAGAATAGCGCCACAGCCATGACATGGGAAGCACAGGTAGAGAAAGCTTTAAGCCTGCCTGAGTGAGAGCAAATCCCCAGGATGGCAGAAGCAATGTAGGTGTAGGAGACTAGGATGGCACCAGATGCAGTTACTATGAAGACAGTAGAGAAGGAGAACAATACAATCTCATTGATGTACGTTTCACTGCATGAGAGTTTTAGCAGTGGTGGGAGGTCACAAAAGAAATGGTCGATCTCATTGGGCCCACAGAAGTCCAGCTGGAACATTAGAGTGGTGTGCACAGCAGTATTGAAGCCACCACAGAGGTAGGAACCCAGAGCCAACAGGTAACACATCCTCCTGGGCATGTTCACCTGATAGAGCAGAGGGTTGCAGATGGCCGTGAAGCGGTCATAAGACATTGCTACGAGAAGGAATCCTTCAGTGGAAACAAAGAGACCACCAAAAAAAAACTGGGTGGCACATCCATTGTAGGAAATGGTTTTGCTCTTAGAGAAGAAGTTGACCAGGGCTTTGGGTGCAACGCTGCTGGAGTAGCAGAGGTCTATGAAGGACAGGTTCCTAAGCAAGAAGTACATGGGGGTAGTATAGAGCTGTGGGTCAATACTTATTACAATGATCAAGCCTACATTGCCCACCACAGTTATGGTGTAGACCACCAGGATGAGCACGAAGAGGAAAACCTGAAGAGGTGGGTGGTTGCTGAATCCCAGGAGAATGAACTCAGTCACTCTTGTGTGGTTTTCCACAGTCACTGCGTACATCTCTGAGAAGCTGCAGGGGCACGAAAGAATCAGCATTAAACAACAAGGAAGCCAAATCCACAAGCCCAACTAAATCCAGATGTTGACACAGAAAATTAAATCTGAAATCACTATACTGGGTGGAAAGCAATCTTGTCTCCCTACAAATGACCCCAGCATGAAATTCTCTCTGGAATAAAATAGCTATGGAAACGTGTTTTATTTTCTTGGGTAGTGGACAGGTCAAAAGCACAGAAGCAATTCATAAAGGATAGATATTAGCAACAAGCCATCATTTAAAAGAAAGGGCAGAAAATACCTGTGCCAGTTCTTCCCCTCTCTAATTATGGACTGCTTTATGAATCGAGTTAACTGTTGAAAAGCACTTGATCACATGCTGTGTTGGTGAAGGCTACATTTTTCAAAGGAGTCTAAATCAACAGCCCTAGTCCGGCTGAAATAGAAGTTAAAAATCAAACTCAGGCTCCTTTGAAAGACTCCACTGAAAATACACAAGCCAAGGTTTTCGAACTTGAGCATGGACTCTGGAAACAGAATTCTCATTCATTTTAATGGGATCTGGGCACCCATATCTCCTATGCTGTTTTGAAAATATCAAGCAAAAGTCTATTTTGCCATCTGAGGCAACTTCAGTGGCCCCACTCCTGATTTGGAGAACTGAAAGAACAGAATTATACCTT